AGAACATAAATACTGGAAGTTGGAGACTTTAAGTCATTATGGAAATTATACATACAAAATTCAAATAAATCCACTATTAGTGGAACATTTATAACCTTAATATTTTAAGAACAAGACTGAAGTAAATGATCTAAACATCTATTTCAAGAAGTTACAAAATGAATAGTGAAGACATACGTAGAAGGAAGGAAATAATTAAGATAATATTAGAAATAAGTTTAAAAGTGAGCAAATTTGTAACAAGAAGGATAAACAAAAACTTTGTTCATGGTGAATCAACAATTTTGTACATCTTCAGTCAGAAGAAAAAAGAGGGACAATAAACAATATAATCAATGAAAAAGATACTGTCCTTATGAAGAAGATGTTATGAATATATTATCAGCAGCTTTATGCCAATAATGTAAAACTTTATATTCATATAGCTATACAAAATAAACTAAAAAAAATAGAAAAACAATGTACTCGCATTATTACCAAAAGCATTGAGAGAGTAGTGAAGTATGTTTCCTCAACAGAAACTCAACAAGCTTCATTAATAAGTCCTGTCAGTTTTTTTTAAAAATAACAATTTTCAAAAATAATCAAGTTGTTCAAAAAATACAATAAGAGGAAGCATTACAAAAATCAACTTATGTAGCTATTGTAACCTGTCTAACCTAAACACCTGCAAAAATATATAAAAATTAATTTATTGATACAGGTACAATTATCCCTACAAAAATATTAGCAAATTTTCCTTTAGCAATATGTAAAGAATATAATGAGTTTATTCCTGAAATACAAGGTTTAATATTGGAAATTAATTAATATCAGCCAAAGTATTAACTTATCATAGAGAAAATAAATGAATAAATAAATATATTAAGAGAAATAGAAAAACACTTGATACTATTAACATCCTTCATAATGAACAATTTGGCATAGACATATCTCAAAGGGGCTTTTTAACCTAAGTGTACTATGAAAGAGTATCAAGCTAACTTCAGATTTATTCTGGATCATTGAAAGTTATCAAAACCATAGAAGTCCTACAAATCGACAGAAAAGAATTAACTCAAAAGGAAAAATGATTGCATTTGAACACTCTTTTTATAGTAGGAAATTCAAACCAATATATATGAAAAAGATCAGCTTCATTAATAATTAGATATTCCCACACATGATGCAATAGTTCTACATGTACTATTTTGGCAAAAATTATAAATTTTGACAGTATCAAGTGGTGACAAGTATTTGGAGATATGAAAATTCTCATAATTTAAAGTGTAAATGTGTGCAATGTAAATAAGTATGTTATTATTAAGTGATTTAGAAGCTACCCATATTCTATGGCTTAGCATATCTTTTTCTACCATATGTAGAAATGCATGCATATTTTCACTGGGAAATGTCCATAGTACCATTTCTCTTAATAACACCAAAATAGAAAGAATTCTGTGTTATAAACATTAAAATGTGTAAATAAACTACCAAGCATGGGATACTGCAAGTAAAATAAATGAAAAACAGATAAAATGGTCTGTCAAAATCAAAGATGAGACAAAAAAGCAAGTCATAATGAACTCTGTAGGGAATATTACCATTCCTATAGTGTCCAAATTTGGCAAAACTCACTGCCTCTTTTACAAATGGTGACATAGGTGGCAAAGGTATGATGAAATAAAAGTATCACCACAAAATCCAGGATTTGAGCATCTACTGAGGACCAGGAATTATAAAACTATACAAGTATAGTTAGGTGAGGTTAATGATGACATCTGAAATCAAGAATGTTAGAGGATGCAGCCTTTTAACCAAGAAAGCAAGTGAACTCTGCTGACTGCATCTGAATCACAAACCAAATTTGACCCACACAGATTTGGAATTCATAGTGGTGGAATACATTCTTTGACTAAATGAAAGACACTTCCTGGAGTGGATACACCAAAAGTGCTTTTCTCCATTAAACTCCCTTCCTCAGCAGGTGCTATCAAGAGGTACCTTTCGTGGAAAAACTCAGGAGACTTTCTATAAATGAATTGAATATTAGTACCATGAATAAAGTGTTCTCTCTCTCTCTCTCTCTCTCTCTCTCTCTCTCTCTCTCTGCGTTCGTGTGTGTGTGTGTGTGTGTGTGTGTGTGTGTATACACAGGCAGGTGCATGTGTGGCCCATGCAATCAGGGATGACATTGTGTATATATTCTGTCCTCATACTCTTCCACTATGACTTCTGAACAAAAGTCTGAAAGTCAAAGCAACATATAGTGAAGAGAGTAAGAAACA